TTTAAGTAGTAGTTGAATTGCACCGCCGCATTGGGCAAACTAAAACCCTTTGATTGGTTAAAATGTTTCTTTCCTTTTCTTTAATACTCCAGGTCTTGTCTGCACCAGTCATCCTAATTAACCCCTTATACTATGTAGAGAAAGCTGGCAATGTGACAAAGAAAAAAGGCAAAAAAAAAAAAAAAAATAAAAAAAAAGAAAGAAAGAAAAAGAAAGAAACAAACACAAAAAATGAAAGGGAAGCTCGGGGTTTATTTAAACTCTTTGCCAACTCTTGAAGGCGTTTGAATAAATAAAATCTCCGGAGATGATATCAGAAATTATGGAGAATACTCCATAAACAATGAAACCCGGTCGCTCTTTTACGATAAAGGGAATGAAACGAAGCTCCTGCTAATTTGAAAGTGAGGATCCCTATCCCTGAAGGCTGAAGGAGCCCTTCCGTCCCTAGTAGATTATGCATTACCCTTCCATATCCACTTGGCTCCATTCTCATTTTTGCTCTCCATATGACTCTTGCAAATCAATGGAACCATGGTACATTGTCTATAGTTGAATTCCGGTGTGTCTCCGCACCGTATGATGCTTTCTCCATACTTCGTACATAAGTACTCCGTAGTCTCGAGACTAGCACCCACCAATGCTACGACTCCACGGAACTTGTCGTGTTCGGATTCTGTAGGAATGGCCATTGCCGTAGTTCTCCACTCTCCAAGGCAGGTGGAAAGTGACCATGGAACAATTTGGAGAGATACCTTAGATATGGAGTCCAAGGAACATTCCATAGAGACAATCTCCCCGGTCACGAGGATTTAACGTAGATGACAGTCTGACTCCCAGGAATGTCGAGTTCCTTGGATCAGATAGGGATCCATGCTTCAGCAGAATGTCCTGCACAATACCCCTCAATCCTTCCTTCACAGATAAGATTGCGGATGAAACAACCACTACGACAACTGTGCCGCGTCAGTTGGGAAAATCCCAACAAAGCGGAGCAGCGACTGCCTTATCTGGTTAAATGTAACTTCCACAATCTTGATAAGAGTTTTCTCTTTCTTGCGCGAACGGCAGATTGTGGGGAAATGAGGTGCAGACGGTCGAATAAAATCTGAAACTCGATGGATGGAGGGTCCATGATATGTACCCGCCGCCGTCAAAGTTGAGTGACGCGGTTGGCGAGCGAAAGGCCGCGAGTCGAATCAAATGCTGGGTTGTGGTGTCGATCACGCGGGAACTCCTTACATTGATCTGCGCGAGAGACTACTTACTTGAGCTAATTTTTATTTTATTTAATTGTTTTTTGAATTTATTTCTTATTTTCGCTTTCATACAAATCTATGAGGGAGTAGTAGTCGAGTATGGTGTATGTAGCGCAGTATATAGGTCGGGTATCCGGAAGAATAACTACAGAGCAAGAAATGAAGGTGGCCTATTGTGAAATAGCCGACAGTCCACTTGATAACGATATTCTCTAATATGTATGGTCCGATCTGTTGAAAGGGAAAAAGAAATACCAAAAAATAATCAAAAAAAGTGGGTCACCGATTGTCCTCATGCATATCGGCTCAACCCAACCGAGATCATTGTTCCCATCCATAGTGTAGTAAAATCTCTAACAGGTGAGCCATATGTGATCTAGGTAATGAATGATGTCTACACCGACAATGTCATGAAGGCATGAAGAGACAGCACAAAGAGGACGCACCAACAAGAGTGATCTGAGAGTCAAAACAAAGTCCCGTGGCGTTTTTATTGAAGTTTCCATAGGTCCCCTCACTTCGTGATTCCAACACATTGGAAACCTTGGGAGTTTAATAATGTATAAGAATTTGCACGTAAGCGAGTATTTCCCTCTTATTATCAGAGTCTCCACTGGTTGCTGCCAGTCTCTCGGTTCACCTCAAGGCAGCCAAGAATTGTATTGAACTCCGTACCAGAAAGTTAATTTACTAGGTCAGTAGCCGCTTTTATGTATTACTGTGGTATTCGGTATGGGGTTTATGTACATACATAGGTATCGAATACATACTTTTGTATAAATCATTCCCTGGGCTGACCACCTCTATAGGGTATCATACCCGTGAAACCTGAAGATATACCTAAGTATGTTGTATGTACATATCTAGGGCAATGAACAGCCTTTGACTCTCAAGTAGATTTCCTGCTTCGGATCCCTACGTCCAAGAGGATTAATGCCCATGTAGTAATGATCAGTAATGCATCTTGCACTGCATGAGTAGGCCGGATCCTATTTTGGAGATTTTTGAGTGTACATTAGCCTCACTGACCGCTAACCAGACATGTCCAATAGAGCCACGTTTTCCTTCCATTTCACCAGGTTTTTTTTTTTTTCTTTTTCCCTCTTCTGCCGCTTGATACCCTGCCACCATGTATGTATAAACAATTTTACTACTCTGCGCATGATGCCTACATAACACCCTTGTGGATGGCTTGCGAATGTCTCGTTTAGACAATCAAAAGATGATGTGCGACCAGTTGATAGTGAGATGCCTGACATCACATACATACACTAGTTCATCCTGTACAGAAGCAGCCCCATCGGTTGCCTCGGAATTAGCTCAACTGCTAGGCTAACGACTTAGTATCCATGGTACATGACCGGAAGGGTAGGAGGCTGCGACTATGAGACGCGATAATGGTCAGTTCGCAAATTTGCTCGTACACAATGTGGGCTATCGATTAGGTTGGTGGAACAGAACTCCCAGATCCACGGAACCCCATAGCGGGAATCTCCCACGGTTGTGAGAATTACCAAGGTTATCCAAGAGCAGATTAGAATTTTTTTTCCTTCTCTGGAGGATTCGGGAGGCCGCTGTTGATTTTGCTTGAAGTGAAGGTGAATCATAAGATCGATGACTCAAAGTAGGTGACGAAAATCTTGAGGATCATTATGCGTCCACTATACCTATCTCAATCAACGATTTATTTATTTATTCCATCGGTCAGGGATGATGACATGCTCCAATGACATCAAGCTCGGCATATCGTTGACCAAATATTAGGAACTCCGTCGCTAGTACGAGAAGTTCTTCCTTTAGGAGGTAAAGAAAGCTAATGCCAATGCTTCGAGGACCGCCTGATTCTGGAGGAACGCTGTCTAAGAGTGTACGCTAACGGAGCAACGGACAGCCTGAACTGTTTAGATTGGCATTGTAGCTGTACTAGGCAGTCGTTAGTGGTAGCGACTAACTATCTCCAGGATGTTTTTCCGAACCTCCGTGGTTTGGGTCTCGGGGGAGGCGACTCCATCCACCTGTGATGGCGTTACAGCTAAGAGTTTTAGCAACCGTGTGGTCGCAAATCAGCGTCCAATTTGCTCACCCGATCACGCTTCACTTAGTTTACTAGAAATTAAATTGCCCCAGAGGTCGTGGCCTCATGCATCCGACACGTTCTCTCCTAGCACTCTGTTACTTACTTTTTTTTTTCCCTTTGCCGCATTAGGACGGTAAAAATAAAATTACAAAACAGAGAGAAGAAAATCAACAGGGGACGCGGCTGATCGTGTATATTTGTTCCGTGTATGGAGTTACTCGGCTAGTACCTCTTGCCTCAGGCATAGTGGGCGTGTACTTACGAAGAAAATAGTGTGGGCGTTAACCGTATGATATTTATTTTCGTAAGCAGTACCGAAAAGGAGAGGAAAAATCGAATCTCTCTTATCCAGCGGGTTACCCCACAGATCAATGTTATATATCCATTCCCACGAGCAAATTGCACATATGATGGTTATGTTAATATCGGTCTGGATTTCTTGACCGTGCTTCTCCCAATGGCAGCAATTTGTCCCTCAGTGCATTCAACAGATTGACGTCGTTGTCACGGCTAACGAATAAGTTGGAGAACTAAACTTAAGGGGGTTTGTTTCCCTGGCCCGCCCGGGAGATGGTATTGGTGGTATTTTTGGCATACCTTACCTACCTTCTTGGTATGATTACCGGTACCTGGTAGGTGTACGGAGTAAGTAACTCTGGTCAACGGGCCGGGAGAGACGGCAGATCCGAGTCATCCTGACTACTATTTATGTAAGGTAGCAGTAGGCAACTCTGGCCGAACGGTAGTTAGTTACTGCTAGTATTCACCTTGTACCAATCTTTCTGTACGGTACAGCCCCAGAGTTGTCTTACCCATGAATGAGTGGTTGGCTGGTGAATTGTGAAGAGGAGATTCAGGAGAACTTAATATGATATTAATATACCAACAAGTCGTTGATACCAGCTTCGGTACTAGCCAGAAAGGGTTTTAGTTCTACCTGTACAAGTGTACCAAAATTTTATTTTTTAGATTTTTTTTTTTAAATATAGTAAAGAGGAACCAGTGTGCACCTTCAGAGAAGTTTGGCATGACTTGCAGCTGGGTGCAATAATAGCAACAGGTGGAAATAGTAGGTCAAAACCGTTGCTCAATCCTCATTCAGAAATTTTTCTTTTTTGTCTTGAACAGTTATTTTCATTTTGCGTAGATTATCCACTGGCGTCGTTGAAGAAGTGTAAGTGTCTTCAGTATTTTATTTTTTTTTTTTCCTCCGTGAACTATTGTTGTTATTATTTTAAAAAATTTTCCTTTCTCTATTGCGTTCTTTGGTTCCTTGCGGTACCTGAATTGTTTCTACTCGCGTTCTTTGGAAAGGGCCGGCCGTCAGTCAGTCTCCGCCGCCTGTCACGATTCCCCTAAAGTTGACTAGCATCCATTCCACACCATCCTCACCCTCCCCCATTATCTCCCTATTCCCTTCTTTTTTCCATTCCACGCCTTTCAACCCCTCCTGCTCCTCTTCCTTTCTCTCTTTCTCCTCTTACTCTCGTCTTTCCATCTCATACTCATTAATTTCCTCCGATCCACTGAACGGCCCATCTTCTGCTTGACTCAGAAGATTAGGTGCCCATTCTAAGGATCTGGTTTCTCCCCTTTTCTTTTTTACATTTTTGCCCTATTTACTTTTTACTTCTTGTTCATTGTCGTTTGTTATTTTCATTTCTTCATACACTCGTCTCATTTTCGATTCGCTTTTGTATATGGCTCGACCGCTCTAGACAGCATTCGCCATCCTGGACCCTTGTGTTCCTTTACGCCTTACTCGTTGAACTCCCTCTTCGACCATCGCCCAATTCGAGCCTTTCGTTTTCCTTTCCTGTGTCCTTGACATCATTTTCGCATTCATCCTAGCGTTTTCTTTATCTTTCTCTCGTTTCCTTTAATCCAAGTCATATCTGTATAATCTATCATTTGCATCTGTTAGAACAGGTACGACCATCCGATTTCCTTTCTAGGGGGCGCGAGAACATGGTTATGGTGAAGAAAACATCGATCACGGATCGGCCAATCTTCGTCCTGCATTTCTTTTTCTGTGCGATCTTAGCTGACGGCCATGTGGTACAGGATCTCTGTTTTCTTCCTTTCTCCTCCCTCGAGTTACTCCTGACCCTATACCTACCTCCATCTGTGCCCTGCGGACGATAGCGAGCTCACCCCGCTGGCATCGCATCCTTCAGACGTCGTTACTTACGCGTCAAACCCCTTTCCATCCGGTTATTGGAGGAGAACACCATGGCAGCGTTGGTACAGACAATCCCGCAACAAAGTGGCACGGTTTCTGTGCTTCAGACTCGTCCCTCTTCTTCCTCGGGCGCCTTTACTCCCTCTCAGTCATCACAACAGCAAAACTCTCGAAATTCAACCATGTCTTGGAATTCATACAATACAGTCGGTGGGTCAGGGAGTTACAGGGTAGGCCACCAGGTTGTGGCACCCTATGCATTTACCAGCACTCCCAACCTCTCAAATTCGACCAACATGTCAAATCGTCAGTCATGGTCCCCTCACTTGAGGCCGGAGCATCGAACATCCTCTGCTCCGTCAGCTCCTCAACTGTCTCCAAGCCCTGCGTATGCCGGAGTCAACTCGCGTTTTGCCAATCATCCTGCAGCTGGTTCTGTATCAACATCCTCTTCCAATTCTTCTGTTCAATCTTACATGTCCAAAGACGACACCGCCATTCCGTCGAGACAGCCGCGTGGTGGCGAACCCCCTCTCCGTCCTTTATCCACCATTAACCTCCCTTCTCCTCCTTCTCCTAACTTTATGAATATTTCATCTCCGACTGTTGCTCGCCCGTCGCCCGATCGCTATCGTCGCGGTACTCGTCGACCCGATGGTGCAGGGGCTTCGCAGCCCGCCGTTACACCAGCCAACGCACCCGTATCTGGCCGTCTTCCGCCAACGACGGACGATCACCTTTCACAATCGAGCACTGCGTCAGGATCTAAGGGTCCAGCACAAGACACCTCCCGTAAACCCGGTCACAACCGGGCGCCCAGTGCCGATGATTCGTCACGGACAGAAAAACAACCGGAGCTGGCGAAGAGATACAGGCGACGAAGCTGGGGCAATATGGATAATGCTGGTCTCATTAATCTACAACTTCATCTGCCCTCGTCGTCACCAATTCCGACAACTGGCGGCCACGATTATTTCGATCCAAGCCATCGGCCAAATTCGGCGCAGTCCAACAGGGACGCTTCGGGAAGCAACCATTCCCCCAATTCCTCAACCTCTTCTGTAAGAGTGAAATGACAGTGTCCGCATTATATATTATCAGTTGGCTAACATTGACCAGGTTCGTGATACGGGACATACGGAATCTGCTGCGTCGTCGTCTAACAAAGTGGTTGCTAAACCGGAGGACACCAAACGAGCTACAAAACCCTCCCCATTATCGCAACCTGTTACTCAAGATGCCACCCCTGGGAATGCAACAACGACAAAACCGGAGTCTAAGGAGAAACGGGTTCCAACCGAGAGTATTGCGACGCAACGGCTGGCTGAAATTACAAACAATGATTTCAAGAGACCCGGTAAATCTCGGTTGAGAAGGGCTTTCTCTTTCGGAAGCGCATCGGAACTTCTCAAGGCCTCTGCTGCTCAGAGTAGCGCAAACAAGAGGGAGGCTATTGCTGCAGAGAAAGCTCGGAGAGAACTGCTCAAGCAGGAACTGGGCCCCGAGCAGGCGGCTATTGCTGAACAACAAGAAGCCAGTGGCCTTGGCGAAAGTATCTACTCTCACCACCAAGGCCGCTTCTTTAACAGCTCTACAGACAATTTGTCTGTGTCTTCTACAGCATCATCCGCTTCAATCATGCTCCGGAAGATGGGTAAGGGGATGAAACGGTCGACGAGGTCCCTCGTTGGGTTATTCCGCCCCAAGTCAATCGTGAGCACGGCATCCAATGACGGCGTTATCGTCGAACCGATGGCACCTCAATTATCCGTGGTCAACGTCGAAGCGGAACGGAAAGGCGTAGCTGCGAATCCGGACCCGCAAGATGTTCCTCGTGGCGGGACAGTGTTTCCCAAGGTGGAACCTAAGTCCCAAAGTCCATCGGCTGCGGAAGATAGCGCTGCAGATAATTCTCAAATGCGTAAGAGCATTGTGGGAGGTGATAGGGAGCGGGCAGAGGTTCTAGCTGCAGTAAGGAAGGGTATCCTCAAAAGTGAGTTTTCTTTTTCACGCTCTCCGCCGAGGTAGGCTCTCGTTGGCTAACATTAACGATCAGAAACCTCCGAAGCAGCAAATTCCACACCCAATAAGCAGGCCGAGCGTCATTTGACTACGAGCAGGAGCGATTCACCTCACTCTAGTGCTCCCAGTACTCCTGAGGACCAAACACGGTCGGACAACCGACGTTCTGACGCAGTGCGGATCGCTGGTGAGGATGATTTCTTACCAGAAGGGCGGTTCCTTGATTCCAAGGGAGCTTCCATTGCACCGGCGGCTCCTAAAAGTCTCGTCTTCAGTCCCCGCATCCAATTCCATGATACATGGCCAAGCGGCGAGTATGATCGTCGTGGGGACATCGCCACCTGTAACCGACTGACCCCTCTCCTTGCCCAACAAATCAAAGAGGAGCTGAACAATTTCAAAATGGTGAGTCGAGCTAGAACCCTCCAGACGGTTTCTTGATTAGCAAATGTTAACGTAGCTGCAGGAGATGGAAGTTCACGAGACCTCGAAGATTTATACCCACTTCCTCTAATCCGCTGCATTCCGAACGGCGTTATTTTTTTTTCTTTTTCTTTTTTTCTTTTCCCCCTCTGCCTATCCTGCATGACGTTTGTGTCATTACTCTCTGGACGGCTGTTGGATCTCTGAATGGCGTGGTTATCCAACATTGGTGTGTTGACTCGTAGACCTGCTTTTCTTAGAGCAACATTTGGGTTGCGTCTTCAGTTCTTCTACCTGTGGACTTCGAGAACGCCCTTTTGACCCTTATTGCCGACTTTGCGAATCCCGGCCATTCACTTGTGTGTCTGCTATGTTCTCGGTGTTACGGCGCTAGCAGCTTGGTTTCTTTTGCGTTTGAAATCTGTGGATTTTACATTGAAGAATGGATTGAAAATTGGAGCTGTGCATACTTTGTTTTTCCTTTTGATTGTTTGTGATCATCCGGCTCCGATCTACTTTGCCTTTGAACCCTTGAGCTTCGATCTGTGCTGCTTATTTCTCTCCGAGCTCAATCATGTTTACGGATTCTTTTAATCTCTTCCACCTGCGTTTCATCGCAGTTGAGTTGCATCAGCCATCCAGTCTCTTATTTTGTGCTTTTGCAAGTGTGAAAAGGGCCATATCTCCCTTGGTTGTCGTCACCGAGTCTTGGTATTCTATATTTTCCAGCGCTTCTCGCTTTCTCATGCATGGCACGTCTTTTGTACAGCTTTCAGGGACTGGTCTATCGTCATACTTGGCCTACTCTATTGTTTATTGACTGGGTAGTAAAATGCAGCATCTCACGGCCCATCTCAGGGCAGTAATGATCCTCGGGGGTTTCTTTCCATGACACTAGAGTCATTTTCCGTATACGAAGAGTATCATCCATCGGCCGAGTTATCCCATAGAATACTTTCCTACCTGAAGCGTCGAGTTGTATCACTAGGGATGATGTTAATCTTGCATTAGGAACAGAACCTTGTGAAGTAGATACCTATGTTTGAGAAAGGACTACTCCGTACTTTGATCAAACACAGTGCCGCCGAGGTATAGCATATTCTGGAATTGCCCACCTTCGAGGCTGTAAGTCACTAGTGTCTTTAGGTAGTCTAATATTAATATATGGGCCTATGGCACTATCCTTAAGCTAGCGGCCGACTACCTGTAGCCTAAGACAAAATAGTATCAGCAACAAGATTAGTCTCTTCTTGATCTCTGGCCTGGAAGCGGCCATTTGGCCATAAGGGTAATTTGAGGAGGGTCATTCGACTTAAACAGGGGCGCCAAAAGTACGGACTACTTAGATTCTTACGATTTTGTGGAGCACCTGCGATTCCCATGAATCAGCTACGGCCTGTTTATCTAAAGGGGAAGCAAGATACGACTCAGGTGGCCTAACTGGGATGATCTCGCTTCTTCTACTTGGCTTGGATGGGTCTTTAAGAATTTTCTAGAAAAGCAATTCGGTATGGTTCTGTTGATAGTGGCCGAGTCTGGGCATGCATCTTGATCTGTACATTTTCCTTCTTTCCAATTCCTTTTAAGGGTTATTTATTCGTTTCATCTGATCCGTGCTATGTGATTGTTGAATAAAAACTCATAGGTCTGGTTGTTCTCGCGAATCTCTTGGTTTCTTTCTACATGCTTTTGCTCGATGCTTTCGCAGTAAACTGCTGTAGTATATCTGTAGAGGTTGGGCTATAGTCAGAGGCCTACCTTTGTAGAGCTTGTGTAGATGCTCATAGATGCTGCTCAGGTACATGATAATGATATCGTAACTCTCAGGAGCTTACATTGCCTGGAGCAAATCTAGAGTTTACCTTAACAAACGAACAGCTGGAAACCTACATTCCTTGTCCAATATCAAATATATCACAAACCGAGTGTCACGCAAGCTCATTAACATTCTATCATTGCATATGAGACAGTCATCAACCCAATACCACATGTACTGTACCTACATCAAGTTCACTTAAACCTTAGAGATGCAGTAGGTACCTAGGAATCCCCATGAGACTGAAGCCGCCAGACTTCCCCGACAATTATAAAAACTAACCTAGCAGATCCTTCCATCCCCTCCTTGCCGAATTACAACCGGCACTACAAGACCAATAAAGCTAGTAGCCGAGCAAAACTTCCGACACAATCCAAAACATCAGATTGAAGGTTTTTCTCGGTTGAATTCTCAACTCTAACTCGGGTGGGGGGATCCTTTAATTCGGGCCGGGGTGTTGTCTTGGCCCGAGTAACAACTACCTACATACTACGGAGTACATACTTTTCTGAGGATTAACATATCTAATAAGTGGTCTTGTTGAGTATCGACAAAAAGAACAGTCATAGTACACCCTGTGAGTCCTTTCTCCTCCGGAGTATACACAAGTCTAGGTGCAGACCAAACCACGAAGAAACTCACTCAACAGAAAAACAACCCCGGATAAAAAAAAAATAAAAATAAAATGAAACACCCGCCACCAGCTCCCGAGAAAACGGGAAAAAGGGAAGAAGAAAAAAAATATCTTCCTTTTTCCTTCCGTGCATTAGTCTACTTAGTTTCCTCTCGGTAGAATTCTCGTGGTCAGACAATTATCTTTTGAAGAAAATTGCCGATGGTAGGCTCAGCTTAAGTAAAAGGTTACGGGTTAGGGTTTAGCGTTTCAACCCCCACGCTCTCGTGGCCCACGTTACCTTAAGGTAGCATCCAGGTCCTGGTGCCCCCACCCCACTTTTGCGGTTTGAATCCCGGTGCTGAGCTGGGAATGTCTGTTTGTTGGGTTGGGGAATATGCTTGGGTCTCGTTTGGGGTATGTAGTCGAGAGAGTTTTTGGTGTGGCGTTCGGTTGTTTAATCTTCTGGTTGTGTTTGAGTTTGGGGGGGTGGATTGGTAGATTTGTTGTGTAGTATATAGAGTATTTTGAGTTTAGTGTGAGTGACGTAGGTGTTTGTCTTTTTGTATATTTTTTTTGAGTCTTGTTTATGTTGGAGCGGTGAAGAAGTAAGCTGGGATTGAGATAATAGTTAAGCTTGGGGGATTGGTGTTAGGGTTTGTATTTGATGGAAGATGATTCCGTGTCTCTGGGATTGGAGTCCGTGGTACGGAGTAGATCTACTTCATTATCTGGTACTGACTTTCTAGTAGACGGGAACTCTTATCTCTTTTCTCAGATGACTCTCAGAGAATCTACATAGGTTATACTTCTACAAGTTTGACTACAACTTTCCCTAGCCAGCTTATAAAGGAGTGAAAAGAACAAGATAAAGAAGAAAATAGAAATAGTTGTTGTATCAAGCACATCATGAAACTATTGTTTGTTGACAGGATCCGCATTAAAGTCCGCCGTGCAGTGCACGATTGAATCCCCAGCCTGACTGAAGGGGTTTCCGCACTGGAAGTGGTCGGACTTGTCCATGTTGCACTGGCCGACCTTCTTGTCGTCCGTGGTGAATAGACCGTAGTCACGGTTCTTGTAGATGGCTGTATCATGATCAGCAGCGGTTCAATGCAAACTACAGTAACCAGCCAATATGAAATTAAGAAAGATTCAGGTGACATACTGTAGTGCCCCACTTCAAGGTTAAACTCGAGCTCCTCGAAATCAGGGCAGCCCTTGCAGCGTACACCTTGTCTACCACCGCTCACATCGCTGAGGGAAGATATGAAGATGGCCTTGTTATTGACGTCATTGCAGTCAGGGGGCGCGTTAAGGAAGAAGAACCCGTCAGAATTGACGGGAGCCATGCCATCGTTGACTGAACCGCTCTTGATAGAGTAGATGTAGAAGTCTGCTGCTGCGAGGGGAGCGAGGGCCGCGGCGACGAGAGTGACGATGGCGAACTTCATGATGAATCTCTGAGAGAGAAGGATATTTGAGTATAGAGTAGGAGAGTGATTGTATGCTTGATTGATTGACTTCCTAGTGTATACGAGGGAGTTTCATGCAGGCTTTATAGATCCAGAAGAGCTGGTCGTGTCAACCTTGTGTATGTCCATTCTGCCTCTCAATTCCTTCGCCAAGACATGTATATTGGGATAAACATGGTTTGTTGCTTGAAGATACTGGAATAGGAATGACCGAGAAGGGGCCAAAATATGGATGCATGCTGTATTTGAGATATTAAGAAGGAGTTGCGGGAACTCTCACGATTATACCTAATGAACTGCTGCAGGGACCTACTAGCTTGAGCTGTAGGTTCAGATAGACTTCGGAGCGGAGTCGTAGGGTCTACACGCGCGATTACGACAGTGGCTGCTGCAATAGATAACTATAGGAAATGTATGAGCATGCTCTGATGTATGTACATGGCTGACCAATACCCATTGCTTATAATGCTCTGGGGTCCCATTTGGTAGGTGGGCAGGGACTTGATCTTGGATAGCATCCAATTTGGTATGAGCATGATAAAATGACCAACGGCCATCTCAATCTCTTTTTGGTATCGGTGGGTCTGAAATCCGGCTCTGGCAAATAGCAACGCTGTTGCCATGTAAATGTGGATATAGGAATGGAGCGCATTGATTAAATACGATGAGTATCTTGCACTGTACATCTGAGCATACAAAAAGGGGGTCCATTGAGAAATTGACCCAAAATTCTTCATAGTCCGATAGGATGAGACTACTTTTGAGCATACTATGTAGATACAATTACTGTTGAAAAGCCTCCCCTTCGTCCAGCTGCACTAAGAGAAGAGCATTCTAGCGGTTTGGCCCGCTCAATATTCAATACCCCATGTGGCGAGAGTGATGCTTGGCAGCACTTTGGGGCCGAAAATTTTGGTTGACATTCCATGGGTCACCCGAAAAGTCAATCAAGTGTCGTCTCAGGATTTTGTTTCAAGCAATAAACAAAATACTGATCGCTGTTTATACACGACACCTAGTTTTCCTACGCTGTAATGCTCCAGAAAGAATGAAGCCCTACCTTATGATGTTGGGGGATGAGGCTTGATACGGGATTGGGTTTCGGCCCCAAAGGATGCTGAAGACTAAGCAGTATCGGAATCGGAATGGGAGATTCCTCCCTCCAAACCGAATTTCACCTCGTTATATCATGGAGATACATTCTGTCAATACCCTCTAGAAGAAACCGATGTGTATTTAGAGGGGAAGATGTGACAGCGTAGGAGAAATCTCAAAGGCAGCACGTGAGGGGTTCTCAATTCCGAGTGCAACACGTGCCGAGGCAACCCGATCCGTGCCGATCTACAAGCCCTAATTCATCTGGAGTAGATTCAGACCACCACAAAAATGACGTACGAGGACTGCCTCTCCCCTCAGGAAGGATCCCGAGCTCTTAGTATCAGCCTTTATAGCTTTTCCGTTAATGCGGAGTAGTGTATTGCCACACCGACAATTAGGAGTTCTTTGGCATCCTACCAGACCAGATATGGACGGGTAGCCGAGAAGCTGGGACCGGAAGCGTCCTTTGGGTCCCGGCCCACGGGGAACGTCCGTACGCGGGGGTCATATGAGTTAGTAATACATTCAATTTTGCAAAAGCTTGGTCAGAATCTTGTCGGAGCCGAGATGTTGCTTGTGGTACTTTGTAGAATTCAAGAAGCAAGGTGTTTGTAACCACCGTCTTTCTCGGGGTGAAGTTAAGCTTTAATTCCCCGGTTTGTCAGACATGAACACTTCAAAGAGGTTTCTACTCGACACCTAGATCTGTTATCATTAGGAATCAAAAGTAAAGTGCCGAAAGCGATATCCCGTAACAGGGGGAACCCCCACGGAAGGACCGAGACTCCCCCCACGAAGATTTTTGTCACGAGAAGAAGAGGAAAAAAAAAAAAGAGTGACCCCCACGCTTCACTCACTCCACAATGACACTCGCTTGGTTCGTTTCTGCTTCCTGATTCCACGAAGGCTTTTCCCCGGTCTCCAGACTTCTATCTTTTTACTTTGGTCTTCCCCAGTCTTTTTCCCCGCCTTGGCCTTCCCCATTGGTCTCAACCATACCTAATTGACTCGGTCCCCATTTGCCTAAAATCCATCCCGACATGGGAATATGTCGGGAAGCCCAACGGGTGCGGTTCCGCGGGTCGTCATAGTTTTTTTTCTTTCCTACACAAAAAGGTCCCTGATCCCGAGTCTGGATGCATGATCTCGGACTGCATTCTCCTCTCTCCTCCCTCCCTTCCTCCCTCCTTACTTCCTTACTTAACTCCTCTTCCTTCTTCCTATCTCCTTCCCCTCCCCTTCCTCTTTTACTCCTGTCGCCCCCCGCTTCTTCCTACTGGATTTCGGAGTAGTGACCCAACACCGGCAAGCCGAAAGCTCCTAATGTGCTGGGCATGATTTAGTTGGAAAACTTCAAATACCTCCCATCACCCATACCCCACGGGGTCTTTTCATTGTCAGAGACGACTTGAGAAAACGACAATCCCCCAACAACCACAAGCCATGGCGGACATCTCTAAGTCCGGCTCTGATGCCGCACACCTTGAGGAAAGGCCCATAACCACCGCAGCGAACCCGGCGCTGGCCGACCCAGCAACGCGCGCGCGGGTAGAGAAGAGCCTGAAACGCAAACTCGATGCTCGCTGCGGCTTCTTCGTTATCATCTATATCATGAACTACCTGGATCGGAACAACATGGCCGCTGCTCGTCTTAAGGGACTCCAGGATGACCTCAAACTGGATAACAGTCAATACGCGACCTGCCTTAGTATTCTTTATGTCGGCTATATTCTGATGCAGGTCCCTTCCAACATCTTCATCAACAGAATCTCGCGGCCCTCTCTTTACATCGGAGCCGTTATGCTTGTCTGGGGTCTTATCTCGACCTTGTCAGGCGTCGCCACCAACTTTGCGGGAATGGTTTGCATCCGTTTCTTCCTGGGTTTTGTTGAAGCTGCTTTCCTACCGGGAGCTCTCATGATCCTGTCGAAATGGTACACTCGTCGTGAGCTCACAACGAGAAATGCCATCCTTTTCTGTGGAAACCTTATCTCGAATGCATTCTCTGCACTCGTTGGAGCTGGTGTCCTCTCCAACATGCAGGGCACTCTTGGTCACGCTGCCTGGCGTTGGCTCTTCTGGAGTAAGCTTCCTTGACTCTCCCCAATATCACACAGATGACTGACTCGTTTCCAGTTGAGGGTGCCGCCACAATGTTCATTGCCATTTGCGCAGCAATCATTCTTCCTGATTTGCCGACCAACACACGCGGTTTCACCAAGGATGAGCTTGACCTAGCTCAGCTACGAATGGCCGAGGATGTCGGCGAGGCTGATGTTGACTCTGAGGATCAAGGCCCGTGGGATGGCTTCTTCATGGCCATCAAGGATATCAAGATCTATATCATGATGATCACCTTTACTGCTTACGTGGTCGGACTCTCGTTCAACGCCTTCTTCGTAAGTTCTTCCTGTTTCCTCACTTTTTTTACGTGCATATTCTAACTTGAGAATCTTAGCCTACTCTTACTGGAACCCTCGGATTCGGTTATGTGCCTACCCTGCTTATGAGCGCCCCGCCATGGGTGTTCTCCTGTTTGTTCTCTCTGGTCGTTGCCTGGAGCTCCGATCGGTACCAAGAGAAGGTTTGTCTTCCCCTGCGACAGTTCCACTACTCATAGATTGCCCCTCTAATTGATTGTTCTAGTTCTGGCACATTGTTGGCCCCATCCTCGTCGGCCTGGTCGGATTCATTATCAGCATGAGTACTCTGAACGTCGCGGCTAGATACGTCGCTCTCTTCCTTCAAGCCGCTTCCTACGCTGGGTAAGCCGTTTTCCCCCTACTATATATTATCCATCACACCCATAACTAACCACACATAACAGATTCATCGTCTTCTACTCCTGGATCAGTTCCTCCTTCCCCCGTCCCCCCGCCAAGCGTGCCGTCGCAATCGCCATGATCAACGCATTCAGTCAGCTCGGCAACGTCGCCGGTTCCTACGTCTGGGATCTCCCCGAGAACGGATACCGGAAGAGCTACGGCATCGTGACCGCCATGTTCGGTATCACGATCGTCGGCTGCTACGGCTTCCGCATGCTCCTCAAGAACCTGAACAAGGAACTCGAAGAGGCTGAGCATGAAGACATCCCCCAGCCGGATGCGGATGAGACCAGGGCAATGAGCAAGGGTTTCCGCTACCTCACTTAGGTTCGGCCTGTGTCTGTTCTTGTTCTTGTATAAGGGTCTTTCATGGGCTGGGCTGATTTATGGGATCTCGGTTAACGATTTGTTGCCTCGTTTGGGATGTTAATTCTGGTTGGGTCTACTTTTCTTTTTCTCGTTTCACGATGGAACGTGTATATGATTTTTATTTGACATGATGGGTCTTTTTTTCCATGTCTGAACATATTTATATCTCAATCAAAATATTCTTTATAAACTTAATTTTGCAAGAGAAAAGGCTGTAGTCTTATTATAATAATAAGTACTGGTGCTGTCTTTGTTAGGTAGTGCTTTAAGCTGTTTCCCTATTACCGTGCCAACTGAAGGATGTCTATAGATAGATATAGTAAGTATAAGTATTCCTTTTGTACTAGGAGAGGTTAAAATAACTATGATATAGTTTTTAGAGAGACCCCCTTCCTGGCCGAGTGTAACATCCCCTAAATAAACGAAGGACGAGAAAGAACGCTCGGGGATATAGATCAGTGCCCCGCCACTAAATCCTGACCCCTCAGAGCTAACACCCCAAGGATTGTGTGGGGTGTTTTGGTTTTGAAGGCACCAACGAGCATTCCTCTCATCCAACATCGGACTCATAGGATAAAAAAAAAAAAGAGAGAGAGAAAAGAAATGAAGCGAATACTATTCTTGACTACCGTTCCACCAGATATTATCGGGACAAGTGTTTCTGACCATGAGTGGTCGAATGATATGTTACCATCACATCTTTCGAAACGGGGAGCCTCGGTAAGCATAAAACGATGGACAGACGAGGACATCATCACCTCCATGCTGGACAGTGACGTAGTTACATTTCTCTGGGCCGAAGACTATTACCAAAATCATATTGCCTTTGAAGAATTCCTACTTACGGCCAAAAGGGCCATCGAAACAGTGGGACAACAACACGGCGCAACCCATCCCCGTGTGATCAATCATATCGACCTAGTCCAATGGAACATGGACAAGAAGTATCTCCTGGATATGCGCGACGCTGGGTTCGACATACCCATGACTGAGATCGTCGATGCGGAGCCATTTACCGGCACGTCGGCCTTGCATCAACGCCTACAGGCATTTCAATCATCCGGGCCCGTCGTCCTCAAACCATCTGTGTCTGCGTCCTCGAATAACACTCGACTCATCCCAGATATCTCGGCATTATCAGCCGATGATGATGTGTATCTGGAGCTGTGTGTGAAGGGCCGTCTGGGAAGTTCCTTGGTTGTACAGAGATTTGAGTCTGCCATTGCCACGGGCGAATATTCTTTCGTGTTCATTGGGGAACAGCTGTCTCATATTGTGCTGAACCTCCCCCCAAAAAGGGCGAGTTCCGCTGCCAGCCCGAATTTGGTGGCGAGGGTAGTTGCATACCGATTGAGCAAATTGAGGAGACAACGTTGTCGGTGGTGAATACTATTTTTGATACCCTTAAGGATTGGTTCGGGGATGGATCAACGGGGGAGATGGGTTATGTACGTATTGACGGTTTAGTGGCCGACCCTCGTGCGTTCATTCTGATGGAGATCGAGGCTATCGAGCCACATCTTTATCTTGAAATGAAGGGTCTTGAAGATATGCTTTCCCGTTTGTTGAAATAGCGTCAAATGATTTGGTTGTTGTCGATAGTTTCCACTCCATTTCAAATGTGAACGATTCATCCACAAGGAATCTGATCGATGGAAATGGGCCTCCTCCCTAATGATAACCCTTTAGACTCGACAGGCCGAGGAATCGTTATGCGTTAGACATCTGAGAGCATGTTCAATGCTTCGCGGGCGTAAACAGACCCCTAGAGTATATTTGGGCCTCCCCAGGACTTAGCTCCACGTACGCGAGCCTGAACTCTGCTTCGCTGCGTGACTCGGGAGCAAAACGCGATGAAAGAGACGTGTTACATATAACATACGTTATGCAGGAAAAAGGGAATAGGTCAAACGATAAACAATGCTTTTTTGATATCTTGTGCCCTTAATCAAAGATATTATTCCCAGTTCTTTTCAAAATCCAGATCCAGCTGTTGGTATTAACATATTCACATAAATAGACAGAAATCTATCAAGACAAAAGTAAATTCAAGAAAGAAAAAGAAAAGGAAACGAGGAAGAAAGAGCCAGCCGAATGACTATTAACGCATTATAGGACTTGTCTTCTCTTCATGGCATAACTCGAAATGATAACCCCCGCGGCTCTGATCAGGTCATGGGTCGCTGACGGCGATACATGATCTAATGGGGCGATCAGACCGGTAGGGGGTCCCCGAGGCTCGTCGGGTTCATATCCGATCTGTTCTTCTCATCGTGGATAACGTTTTCGGAACATGAAATAAGGAGAAATCTTCTGCTTCGGGTTGGTTGCCTATTGGAATTTATAGTTCGTTATAGGTGGTTCTCGGGCAGTGAAAATATGTGAGGGTTGTTGATATTTTTTTTTTCAGGACTAACAAAATGAAGTCTTAAGCATTTCTGTTCAGGACATCATAGGGATTCTTGTCCTTGACGCTAGAAACGTCTGTGGTGGCCTCAACGTCCTCCTTGGTGAGCTTCTTAGCACCATGCTTCACCGGGGAGAAGCCCTGTGCAGACTCTTGGTTGGCCAGACGTGCCTTCTGCTTCGAAGATGCGCGAGTCCGGATCGGAGAGTTATCGGCGGCGGGCTGTTGGGACTTCTTCCGGAGTGCCTGGGCCTTGTTGATAGCTTCATCCTCAGTGGCTTCGCTCGTTTCGCCGCTCATCTCGACCGACTTCTGAATCTCACGGCTCACGCGGTGCAATGCATCGAGACCGGCCTTCTCAGCGGCATGCATGTGGGTGGGCTGCTGAGGACTGGGTTCCTTGCGAGACAGATAGGAACGGATGAAGAAGCGGACGAAAAGGTAAGTCAGGGGCAGAAGATAAGTTACGTTGAGCCAGATCGCAAAACCTTGGCCACTGGTGTCCATGCAAGTAACCATGGGACCTACATGAGGCTGCGACATATTGTCAGGGGTCTCCGGCGCATAGCCCACATTTTCGGCAATACCTTCCGCGCCAGCTGCACGGAAGCCGAGCTTCTTGAGCCATGGGGCGACACCGGAAGCAGCTGCGGTAGCCATGGTAGAGCGGACTGCAGAAGCCGCGGCGGCAGCCTTAGTCTGGGGAGGAAGAGTGTAGTGGACAAAGAGATAAGAGGCCGCCCAGGTGGTTCCGACCAGGAACTGGGTGATTTGCATGGAGGTCAGGGAGCGCTTAATCACGGTGGGGACACGAATGCGCAGAGCAGTCAGGGTATAATAAGTGTACTACGTTTTTAGGTTAGTTCCGCTGCAGGATCACGCATTCAACCAATCATACGTACCATCATCGCATGGATTCCCGAATTAACCAGGGTGAAGATCCAGATGGGAGGGGCGACGTAACGGATACCGGCCCACATGCACATCATGGCACCGGCGTGGTGGTAAGTTTGCAGGGTCGAGCTCTTCTTGCCCTTGGCCAAAATAATCGCAGTATCCAAAACCTCGTAGAACTTGGACAAGTAGAAGATCCAGCCCAGGTAGGCCAATCCTTGATTCCACATCCGACCGACATCGGTAGGGTCAGGCACCCCGCCGTCGGCCAGCTTGTATTGGGGATTCTGAATAGACCACTGGTCGGTCAAAGGGTTGTACGTGGCGGCATTTCCGTAGCCCCGGGGACCATTAATCTTGCAGAGCGAATCCACCACACCCACAAGGCCGTTGGGATCATCCCGGTCAGGCCACGAGTTGCGGAACGCCTGGAACATGCCGGCGAAAGTCCATGCGGAGTACACGGCGAGGAAGACATTGTGAAGGATGACGAAAGCCTTGAAGAGCTTTGTCTGACTGAATCCCCAGGGTTTGTATCCGCGACTCTTGTTCACACGGTTGAGCAGACAAACGGTGACGGCATACACGCTGGCGATGGTGATGGGGACGCGCACATCTAGCAGTTGGTTATACAACTGGGGAGGGATATTGAAGGGCTGGTTCCATGTCGGCTCAGAGGCCTGGGGCGCTGGAAGAGTGGTAGGGAGCTCGTCCGGGGGAAATTTCAATAATGAAGAGGGCGGGAGGCCGATGCGCACGACCGCTGGGCCCGACGCGGTCTCGAGATTCAGATCGAACATGTTGCTAGATTTCCCACCCCGGGGAGCGTAAAGTTGCAAGGTGAGGCAAGGAGAATGGCTTTGTATCCAAGCTCACTTCCTCGGGAGTAAGAATCGCGAGTCCGGGTTTACGGAAAGAAAAAAAAAATGTCGGGAGAAAAACTATGGAAAAAAGGATTAGAGAGAAGGTCAACAAAAATGAGGTATTATATACTCCGTATGATGATGAATACCTAGAAATTGGAGCCCGGAATAAATGCAGGACAACCCCAGCAGCAACAGGAGGATCAACTTAGTCGGCAATGAGGCAATTGGCGAGGGAGAAAAAAAAAAAAAAAGGAAGAATGGAAGATGAATGATCGACCAGTTCTCAGCCAAACAGACCAGACCTTCATGTTTGAGTTCTGGGGTCACCAAACGGTCCGGATCAATGGGAGCGAAGATTATCTCCGTAAGTGGAGCCGCGATGCATTTTGTTGGGAACTTGGCCCTGACGAACACGCAGCGAACCTCGGCCCCAACAGTTACGTAGGGAAAAAAATCCATCTGAAGGCCTTTTGAACAAGGAGTATCTCATGCAACGGCCATTGGTTCAAGCGATCTTTAAGTCTTTCAATTATTGGCCTTTATATCAAGGGATCAGCACCCTATCATCCAGGACGCAGGTCTGATTGGCCACACGCGATGGATTTCCGCATTGATAATGTGATGGCATGGACGACGATTATCAGTTCTTTCGTAATGTCGTCTCCCTCGGTTTGATTTTCAAGGAAACCAAACAAACCCCGAGACTGAACTCTGGCTCGTTTGCACGATATCTACTGCCATTGACGCAATTGTTGTACTGTGTATGGAGTACAGGTCCACGCGAGATGATGCGAGGATGATGAACCGCTGCTCTCTCTTCCCATGGTTCTCCAACGCCATCAAGCGATCCGCTGATTCAGCACGTGCATGACTCGTGGCGGTCACAGCCTTAGGCACCAACGCCTTGCCTTCTTACTCGTAGTGTGAAGCATTAACAAAAACTGTTGAATTCATATTATGACGTATCAGCATTCATGTATCGGTATATACGAAGTTTGCACATGTAGCAGGAATCATATCAATCACCCACCATTCAAGCGCACTGACATGATATCGTTGCCCCGTTCCGCATCTACATCTGCTTGATATCTCCACTTGCTGAACATCCGTTATCTCACTGTACAGATTTTTACAGTTTAGAATGGCAATGATAACGATATGCTACCTAAGCAAGACAACGCCAAATGAGTAATGATACAATCGCTACAACAACTCAAGATTCCGAGATGCCTTTATAGAGTACGTAAGAAAAAGAATAAAGCAGAGCCAAGGGTAGTATTCATGGGCTGAATGTTCCGCTCAGCGGGGTTTGGTACCAAGTGGCACCGGAGGAGGTGTGGTGGACGGTGCATTCACCGGTGTAGATCGCATCCCTGACTTCTTGGGGGGAGGGGGTGGTGGTGCCTTCTTTCGACTGATGGACTCAGTATCAACGCTCGAGTTGGAACGACTCAGATTGGGATGAGGAGGCACGGGCGGTGGCGCTTGGTCCGAAGGTGTGGAACCCTTCCGGTCGTCAAAGAAGCTGTTTACCCGCTGGGAGATCCCGTACTTCTCATTGAAACCACTGAGCTTCTGCTTTCCAGCTTGAATTTTGTCGTCGTGTTTCTCGCGGAAATCCTTGATAGCGGACGTAGCACTCTGCGCATCTGACGTAGACACAGTGGAGGACTCACGTCCATATAGGCTTCCCCGGGCCGGCGGGGGAGGAGGTCGAGACGGATTGCCAGAATTCGTCCTCATTTGGGAGAAGCGCGTTTGCAGCTCACTGACCGGGGCTTGACCAATTGACCCACCCGTAGCTGGGGACGCAGACCTCGGTGAATCGTCACGGTTTCCGATTCCCAGAGAGGGAACGGAAACTCCCGCCTGAGCAAGGCGGGATGTAGCCCCTTGATTCAGGTAGCCATCAGAGGATTGTTCTGTGGTAGAATGAGGAGAGTATGCAGGAGGAGGAGTAGGTGAATGGGACTGCGGCGTCGAATTGGTCCGTGGAGGAATTCGGGGTGGGATGCTAGGCTTAGTTCCGGAAGCCGCAAGATCTGCTGGTGACCCCGTGCGTCTAACGGGGGGAGGGGGAAGGGTACTCGGATCTACGCCTGTCCGGTTCGCACGGTACGGTAACGGAGGGGGTGCTGGTTTCTGGGGTTCTGTCTCAGCTTCCGCTTGCTCTTCTTGTTGGCGAGTATCCTGTTGGTGAATCTGCTCTTGCGATACGGGGGCACCTAGGCCCCTCCGGTCTGGTGTTGTCTGATTTGGGACAGCAGCGGCGCCATGATATTTGATATGCTTCGGTGGTGGTCCAAAAGCTGCCGGGTCCTTGAGCGAGGAGAGCGGCCTCGAAACATGTTCCTCACGCTCGCTATCCTTGTCTTTGCCTTTCCCCATCCATCCGGCCTATCGGGGGAATAGTACATTGTCAGTTCGTCTCAAGTCGCTTTGTTGTAATGAATATAACACACCACTTGGTTAATGCCTTTGAAGTCACCCCGCCAACTCTCCTTTTGCCCTTCTTTGCCCTTGGGGTGCCAGCCCTCCTTGAATACCCCCTTAATCCCACTCATTGTCGGTGCAGCTTCTGTTGACCACGGAAAAACCTGCACAGTTCAGCGAGTAGTTGATGCCAATGCCGATCAGACCAGGATCGGTGAAGATAAGAACGAGTTCGGTATGTCACATCGACCCGTCGTCACTGACCGTTAGGCGCGGGACCATCTTGGTGGATGTTGATGGCACTAACGCATCTGGGTTAGTGCAGCCTGGAGGTTACGTTATCTCCAATCTCCGAGAGGGTCACGTGGAGGCCATTCATGATCTTTTGTCATGATTGTTTCCTTCGGCATGGAGAATTATTTACACTTCCGGAGTACACGTAGTTCTATAAATATATATGTATAAGACCGGACGTTGTCAGCTGTGCCCACTCTGCATCTTATCCTTGATGATGTCTTGCCAATGTACCCTGTACTATGTCAGAACTAGAGGCAAAATGAGCCACTAGATTCTAGCCAAGGATTGGCCCCCAAGAAACCGCTGCGCAACATGGCTCTCACCATAGCCACTCAGATGTCGATCAAACCAATGGATTGTTGGTTGGAATGCGCAGAAGTCTGAACCCAAGGCTGACCACCAAGAACCTTTTTTTTTTTTTTTTTTTTAATTTTTGAGGAATCTTCTCCCCTGCCTCTCTTGAGTTCGCGACGCCATCTATCACTGTCTTTGTTACAACTTACAAATGTCTGTGCAACACCGAGGGCACGAACTGCTACGCTTGTCGACAAACCTTGAGTTCCAGGAAACCGTCTTGTAACATGTTGATGTCCCGCATTTTAAGCACCAGCGGAATGAATCCATGCCCTATGTGTGCCATCCACCCAATGGTGATCGGCGTTTCATATTATGGCGCCGTTCTCATCTTTTGCTGATTGGGTAGCCCACGGCCCTCATTGTTCACTAGTAGCAAAGTCTAGTAATAACTGCTTGCGAGATGCTGCGCCATGTCAGCTTCCTTTGTCTAGTATGCATTCCCTCACCTTTCTTTATCTTACGGCTCTTTGCCGTTGCAGGCCCTCGCTTCCGGTCCTTTTACTCTACTTCTGCTCGCTCCTGGAATTGCATGACTATCATGGACTATAGCACGAAAACAAGTATCCCACTCCTTTGACTCATAGATCGACTTCTTTGGTCTCATTGCGTCTACTTTTGGCTTTTAATATTGCGGTAGGTTACATCTAATGTGAGACTCAGATGTCTTCTATGTTCCATCCTTGATTCAGTTTGGTTGTCGGCACTACCGCACATATGGATCCTGTTCCCTTCGCAAAATCTGATTTCTGTCATTCCCCCCCCCTGTCGTGTGTACGTATATGTTGATTGTCCTTCTCAGATGTACTTAGGGTTGTGTATTAGGACCTACAACTCTCAAGGAAAACCAAGTTGATCTACTTCCATCGCAAACATTCAGGCATGGACCATCCCATGGTCGTCGTTTTGAGAGACCTTATTGCTGGACCGTCCAATTTGCACGCCCATGATCGGGCCCGTCAACAACCAGACTGCGGTGTTTCGTGTGATATATGGCCGAACAAGCGATTTCTGTGGGACGCTTCGGGACCATTTATAGGACCTGAGACTACAATAAATACCGAGAACTCCCCGGCTGTAACCCAGGCGGCACGGACCGCCATGGCGTCTGCAGAAACGAGCGAGACCACCTTTCAGAGGGAAGTCAACTCTGAGCCTGATTATGTGGAATCATTGGCGACGATCACATCGACCCTGCAATCAGAAGCAACATCTCTACAACATGTACCACCGATGGACAGCAAGCCTACAGGTCTCCAAATTTCACCGGTTGTCACTGTACCTCCGTGGAGTTCGGTATCCTCTTTAACAACTACCACAAGATTAGCTACACAGCCTGAAACAACATCCACAGCAGCTCCAACCATCACCCAATCCGCACTTGGACAAGAAAAAAACAGTGGTGGCGATGGCATCAGCACCAAAACAACAATCGCCATTGCCGTACCCGTTTCCGTCGTCGGGCTTGCTCTCTTCGCAGGGCTTCTGTTCTTCCTCCTAAAGCGTCGTCGCCGAGAGAGAAAAATCGCCTCCACGAGTAATCCATCCTTAGTATGTGCAATCCCCAAACAAGAACCTTCTTGGGGGGATTTTGGATCAACCCCGAGAGAGAGAACCTCGTTCGGAACCATGGCACAACGACCCATACCACATAGCCATACACTCACACCGGATACCCAGTCCTTAAACCGAGACGTACGCCCACCACCATCCGCAGACAGCCGCAACGGCGTCCGAGGTCGCTTCACCGAACAGGTTCACTCAATATACGCACCCGATGGAAGTCCAATGGCGTTAACCGCAGAAAACATGAGCCACCACGAACAACACACACCTCGATCTTCGGCATGGCCCCTATCACCATTTGGAGATCCGATCAATATTAACAACAATAATGATGCGGCCTCGGTCGTTTCGAGGCTCAGTGATAGACCGGGTGCGACGCAGAACCGGGACATGGATGATGTTTCGTCTATCTCGTCGATAGATGACAATGAACGGAGGCGAAATACCCGGCCGTAGGGCTTCGGGGATGCGGAGATGTGTGTTTGTGATGTTGATCGTTTGGCGTCGTGGTCTTTCTCTTGGCCCTTTGAGCTTCTTCATATACTATATACTCTTACTTATACTCCTGTGTACTGTACATTGATCTATGTTCTCTATACCTGAAGCAGAGAACTCCATTTAGCGATTGCATTTCTATTACCCTTGACAAAACAAGGACCATCCAATTATTCCCATACCTCATACAGTAGGTAAACAGAGCCCTGGCCGCCCATCTACCAAGCCAAACCAATAATCCCCTTATGGCGGTTCTCAGACAATACCACGCTAGTAAGACCTCCAGCACCTCATCCCCAGCAGAAGAGCTTTTATACCTATAAGTAGACCCGCTCTATCTCTACCAATTTTGGAGGAAATTTCCTGACGAAAAAGCTGAATACGCAGCTATTTACATCATATATTAGTATCAAGTTATATTGGAGCAAAAGACTGTTTTGGTTGTTCATTGGACGTACTAAAAGATGCACATTTCAGAGGTCCAGTTCAGACTGTGGTCAACTATTCCTGCCAGGTGCGAGATGGGTTGACCAAAATCCTCTGGATGTCCGGGCGGTCGGGTCCTTTCCGCAGTGTCCTTGGCATACCTAGTCGTTGGAAGCAATGACAGCACTATTAATATGGATAGATTATATGATATTGAATCTATGCTCAATATATACAAAACTTTTTGAGCTTACACCAGATGAGGTAGTGGTGCATGCATTGAGGTATATGTACAATAGTCTTTGAATCAACGCCCACCGAAATCCGGCTTATACGCAATCACCTTGCCCTTCATCAGCTCTCTCAGGGCCATCGTTGCATACTGACTAGATCCCAGCTGGAACTTCAGAACGACAGCAATCTTGTCGGCGGAGTCTGCATTAGCAGCGGTACTTTGGTTGCCGTTAAGCTTCTCCAGGTCCGTCTGCACGAACTGCTCATCATCCACGGAATACAACTTTACCTCAGCCGAATAGTCTGCTCCCATTCGGCTGAGGAACTTCCGGTAGCTTCCACTCAAGCTGATGTCCTTCCATTTACGGCGCATGTCATATGGGTCTAGACCGCCACCTTGTTCGCTGCCCATGAAGCGCTTGTAAAAGCCATCCATAGCATTGGAGGGGTAGAGCACGTCGAATCCTGGCAAGGGGAGGACAACGTCGAAGATCGTGTACTTGCCGCTGGCGGCTTCCTCGGCTGTCAGGGCTCGTGCGCGTACAAAGGCGTCGCTTGCGGCGTAGGCGCTGTCCCCTGCATGCGGGGCGATGATCACCTCACCGTCTGCGTCGACCTCAGTGGCAGGGCCATTGGCGTTTTGGTTCTTGTCAATATGTTCGTGAATGAGGACCAGGTCTCCCTCCACAACTTTGTCTCCGTATAACCGCCACCGCTCGCCTGCAGCGAAGTTCCAGACCAAAGATTGGTAGGCGTGCACATACATCAACCGCAGGTTCCGGGGAATCGCCTGCAAGGCTCCCAGGTAGTCATTCTTGGAACGGCCCAACTGCCGGATCAAGTTAGCTTCTGCGGAGAACTTCCGAGGCAATTTCTCAAGGGCTTCGTTGATTCTACTAGTCGTTTCGAAGATGTGGATGGCCTCTGCGCGGGCCTTGTCATCTGAGCTTATCAGAGCGGTCGAGTTCTCGCCTTCTTGGGCAGCGGCCAGAACATGGGGACTATAGTGAAGGATAGCATCACAGGCGCCCTTGAAGTCTCCCTGTAGCATTTTGACACCCACTGTGTCCGTTCGCGTCGCAAAGGTTCCAAAGCGCTGAAGACCGTAGTAGTTGAAGTAGCCACGCTCACGCAGGTTTCGTAAAGCCGAGCCTACGCGCTCAGTGGCATTCTTAATGGCGGTTTCACGATCTTGGAGGTCAATGCCTGGGATATCACATTCGCGAAGCGTTATAACGAACTCGTTTCCGGCGAGATCACCTAGCTCAAGGCCATACTTGCGATACTCAAAATCGCCAAGTGCGGCATTGCGGAGAGTCGAATTCATTTTCGCAAGTCGATCAGCATGCACGCGGTGGGCGCAAGCTCTTTGCGTCGTCACTCCGCGTCGGTCCTTAGTGCCAGCAAATTGGAAGCTCTTGGGGTTCAACCTCAATGTGCGCGCGATAAAAGATATAACTTCCATCGTATCCTTGTTCTCCTTGTAGATAGTAAAATGCAAATAGGGGCCTCCCAGCTCATCCCAGTTGACACGGCCTTGGCTCCGGCCACCCTCGCGAGCACCCTGCGCCTTGCGCTTGGTTCGGTTTGCAGCGACCGAGATGGTCATTAGGCCTTCAGCATCAGTGGAAGATTCAATCTGCGAATTGAAGATGCGACGGATCGCCTGGTGCATCTTGATGCGCAGGTCGCGATCGTTTACAACAACGGTGGGAAGTCTACCCAGTTCACTTGGGCGGGCTTTCTCATTGGACTGGGCGCGTCTATGCAGTGATATAATTTTCTTAGCGTGATCGGCGCCAAAATAGGAATCCAACAGCGCCTTGTCCTCATCTGAGATTTGAAATTCGACTGCAGGTGTCTCCGCGTTGGGTGTGGCGTCGCTCGCAACCGCCGCTTCTGCATCCCCCTGTTGTTTGTTCTCTACTGGTGTTTCCGTCTTATCCGCAGAGTCATTGTTGTTCTGTTCCGACTGAGGTCCAGCCAGGGCACTTAAATGCAGCACTTCGCCCGAAGGAACGATCTCATTGACCAAGAAATCGGTATACCTGAAATCAAACAATTTCAATCAGTGAAAGGTTTCCTCTCTCTTATTGGAGAAAATACCTCTTTTTCAAGATGCCAGAAAACCCCGTATTTTCTGGGCTAACAAACTCAGTAATCCCAACTTCGGCCTCCTTCAATGCTTGAGCGTCACGTTCGGAGATTTCCGCAGGTGCTCCGGCGGAAGGGGGTAGGGTAGCTTCATCTGTTGTAGAGGTGTTGTCAACCTTAAGCCGCTTACGCGGCGACTCGACAACGTCAGCGCCTTCCATTATGAAAAAAGAGCGGGGAAGGTGATGTCAAGTTGAAGCGGGAAGCGATAGCAGATGGCTTGATGCGGACTCGGAGCTCTCGATAGGTTTTGCTTCGGCGGCTCCGAAAGGGGATTAGTGTAACCCTAGCCCTACATCTCCCCATCAAGGAAAATGCCGTACGATGCAGTAGATGGGCATATTCTTCAAGTTTACTGGGGAAGTTGTTTCTGCTTCAATTATATCTCTGATTTCTGCTCTCTTTATCATGAAGTTATTTACTCTACACTAAAGTATAAATTCACAATTAAATTAGTATGCTCACACTCAGCAAAATTTGCAATAGCTATCCGCTATATATAACACAACCGTTCACTTTGTCAAGCACAGTAGCTAGAGTATCAAGGGTAACTTCGTAAATTAAGAAACAATTCTTCGATTCATGATTATGTTAGAAGGTATATATGACCTGGTTGAGGTCTTAGCCTCATAAGATGGACAGAGCGTTACTGTAGATATCATTTTCAGGATGACCGAGAGTTTAGAAGATTGACATCCAACACCATTTCGAAGTTAACCTCATAGATGATAGAAATCAGGAAATGAGATCTTGTGCATAATCTATACGCTTCTATACTTCATGAAGGCTAGTTCAGTGAGCGCTCTGTCAGATACACATTATTCAGCCTGCTACGATCCTCTCTCTCTCCCATCAATGTCTCACCGGTTGTCCCAAGGCCCGGAGCTCCCATTGTCGGAAGTGAGACATGTAGCACTAGATATAATCTAATAGAGATAATGAGTCGGAGTCAAGCAGCCAATCGAGCAGCAAGGTGGTTCCAACGGGTAATACTTGATTAAGAGGGCCCACAGGGTCAACACGAGCCATGGGTTGGATGCCTTTTAGTACCCGTATTCATTCTGTGCTAAAATAGGGATTGCCATGGCGCAGTTTGTGCCCCACTGTGGATATTTCTAGGATTCTTAAATAGTAGGGATCTTAGTATCTTACATCACCAGGGTCTGTTCGTGTCTTAGAATCGAGTAAAGATTGTCGTTCGAGGTCTCCTATACGACGGGTGACAGTGATAAGTACTTGTAGTAATACTGTGATATTCGCCAGAACACCAGACCACCAGACAACCAGAAAGAAAGGCAAACAAAAGTACCCTTCCAGCGAAGACGAGTATGACGAGAAAGGAAATCTGACAGTAGTAGTATATCCTAACGTTGGAGGCTTAGACGTTGGAAGGTACCCCACTAGAGCTAAACTAAAGACCAAAAGATCTCCGACTAAAACTTCCCATTCCGTTTTGGCTTAACCAAAGACCCTTGCCAAATAAAACAAGTGAATATAGCATTACTCATTCGGAGAGCCACCAATAAGGGCACCCTGGTCCTGATCATCTGAAGTCGATCGGTTGCTGTCTTTGTTATCGCTCCACAAATTTCTAACCCAGCATGCGTCCCCTGAAGTCAAACCAAGAAATCTGGGAACCACTTCCGTATTCCTTTTTTCTCGACCGAAGCTTGTTTCCCTCAATGAACTTGGCAATTAACTCCATCCGCTCGTTCTATTCAAAAACCGATAGCGATGATTCCACAAAGACAGAGGAAGCTATCGATAGGTGGTCGCAAACTGATCCTCTTGCTGTTGGCGGTCCTGATCTACGTCGTTCTTTATCATCTCCCACCTCCGCCAAAGACCAAGAACAATACCAGTTCGAATAGAAAAGCCCCAAAATATGATGTGGACACTACTCCGCGATTCCTGCATCTCTCGTCCTTTCGTGAGGCCCCTGATTCAGAATATGAGAAAAAGGTTTCGGATGCACTGCTAGAAATAGAAAGAAAAGCCCTACGCGAGAGCAATTGGGATATCTCCACCGAAGATCGAATCTGGCAAGTTGCGCTCGGTAAATACATCGAGCGAGAATCGGATTCATTAAATTTTGAGCAAGAAAATAATGGATGGAAGTATTCAGTAAGGGTTACCCCACACTGAACCAGTCGTACTTTCATACTAAGACCAGACAGCTCGTGGATGACAAAAAAGCATCCAAAGTCATTACTGAGATCTTCTCAAGCGTGCCAGATCTCAGGAAGTTGTATGATTCTTACCCGTACCATGTGATACGTTCGGACCTGATCCGATATCTTATTCTGTGGTACTACGGTGGCTTCTACGCAGACATGGATGTTTACCCGGCCCGCACTATCAAAGAATGTCCGGCATTAGAGCCACTCTGGGAAGATGGTTCCAAAAGCCTGAATGTCTCCCTTGTTGTAGGCATTGAAATCGACGAGCCACATGCCTCCCCGCGCCTCATGCGTGAGTGGCGCTGGATTAGACGCTACCAGCTGATCCAGTACACTATGTATGCGCCACGACGCTTTAGTCCAATACTCCGAGAGGTGATTGTTCGAGTCATGGCTCACACAAGACGACACATTAACCAGAGCAACTTCCTGCGTGGGCCACGCTACAAGGAGAACACGATTCTGGAGGTCACAGGACCTGGAGTATTTACCGATGCAGTTCTAGATGTGCTATCTCAGACTCTGCCGCCGACTCACAGCTTGGTAGAATCGTCAGTGAACGCGGATGCTGACATTGGGGATCTCGTTTCGCCGTCTACCGGAGTGACCCAAAGGCGGGTGACGTGGGCCCCATTCAACAGAATCAAAGAGCCGGTCTGTGTGGACGCATCGGAGGCCATGGATGGAAAGTCTATGGGAGGCGTCTGCGTCTTACCTGTGAATGTATGGGGAAATGGACAAAGACACAGTGGTGCCGAGGGGTTCAGCAGTAAACATGCATGTATCAACCATCGTTTTGGGAGAACCTGGAGAAAAGGCTGGATGGAATACTTCTTTGGGTAACTTAGGAGGTACTCTTGCTCTATGGTGGGAAAAAAATGCCATATTCAATGGAACTCTTGTATGGCCCTTGCAAGCAACATCCAAATCACAAAAAGGATGATTTGGGATACGTGTCACAATGACTCTCTGAATCTCTGTCAGGTACCTCGCCCATGATACTCAACTACGGGGGCTGGTTCAAAGGGAACTACGTATTTACGGCTGTTCTTTGACAAAATCGGAGATAGTGGAAGTATGGATGTGATATGGTCACTCCAAGGGACAGCACACTGAAGAGAACCACAGATGAGGAGCTGAAGTTACGGGATTATACGAGGACATGACAGTGACTTACGGACATCGATAACATCAGCATGCTTATTACCCCGACTATACTTTGTATTTACTGTATGATATTCGAGAATTTCTGTACACAGGTGAACCGGAATATTTTTGTTATTCCTTTAAAGGCTGCTTTTAAGTAGCACTATTTAATCCCACAATAATATCAAGCCCTAAACCCCACGAGAATGAATCTGCAGAGTCTGGCAAGCCCCTTTCTAACCTAGGACGAAGCCCTAAGCTACCTTATCGTAGGCTTGGTCACTGCGCTCCGACCTCTATAAGAGAATGTCTAGATCCACTCTACATGGCAGAGTTCGAGTGGAAATGTTAACAAATGATCCCAAAGAGCAATTATGCGACTATCCCGCATAAAAGCCTTACCACACAGAAAACATCATAAAGCCCCCCTAGCGAAAAAAAAAAAAAAAAAAAAAAAAAACAAAGACAAACACCCATTGAAACCCTTAAAGTGCCACAACTTGCTACTCGGACCACGTCAGCATCAGCAGAATCAAGGTTACATGGGGTTCATGAATGTTGGGAGCTCGGTAGTTACCAACTCTCCAAGCTGCAGAAACCATTGATTGTTATGGATCCCGTTATAGCAATGAAGAAACGGCAGCTGGTGCCTCAGTGTCTAAAGATATCTTCTTTGCGGGTACACAAATACCGTGTAACATGATGCTGGATTTGTCAACTGTTGACCACGCCACGCCCTGAACATGTCCTTATTAGATAGATCGGGCGCTCCTCTAGACCACGGGTATATATATTCAGTGGTGTCTTTCGTGTTCATATCTTCCTGTTCTCTGTTTACTATTTTGACTATCTTTGGATATTTCTACTGTTGATCTCTATATCTAGCTATTTGCAAAAGAGAACCAAGCAATTTTGAAGAGCATTGGTCTGTATACAGCATGAGTGACTTATCAACATTTGAGCCGTCAAAAGCCCAACTACGACATGACCCTATATACTACGTGAAGCCGGGATCCGACGACAAAGAGAAGTTGAAAAGATGTATTGAGATATTCGAACATCAGGAGATACATCAATGTTTCCGTGAGTTAGAAGACGAACTGGGAGCTGATGAACCCACTATTAAGAATGCCATTGCCCGCAAAAAAGCCCTCTTGATCGACGGTATCACCGTTGATGCGAGCCTACATGATCTTATCTGCGTGTTCGTCGATATACCCGAAAGCAGACCCCTCGAAGCTCGTCGATGTCTCCTTGATTCTAAAGAGGAACTACAGAAGAAAGTCGATACTGTCGGGCACCGGCTCGCCGGAGGCCAGTCCTTTGATGCGCTCATCCCAACCGAGCCAGTTAAGGATGGGTATGTGAGGATCAGTTACAATTTCTGCACCAAGGCTGGGAACGGTAGAGTGGTGTATGAAGAACTATTACATCTTATTGGTAAATACCTTGAGAATAGGTTGACTGATTCGGACATGCCAGTTATCCTCGGTGATGAACTCCGGATGGCTCAGACTGAACCGAGATTGTGGCGGTTAGAGCGTGGTTATGTCCACGACAGGAACCCACTGGGCGTGTCGAAAGAAATCTTTTCTCCAGCTTGGAAAAGGGTAATTGAATGAAGAACACGGGGATAGTCGTAGCACCTGCTTTAGCATGGATATCTCATTGTTTTCAATGCTTGAATTCGTTTAAGAGAGGGTCCTATGTTTGAGAGGGATAATGCGCATGTAACCTAACCTTTGATACGATTGCTCTTTAATACTACTATTGTTATCCATCACCTTGTCTCTTTTGATTAAGGTCTAGGATTTTGCGGTATGCTGAATGGAAGTTTACTCAAAGAGAAAACTCGCTTTTTGGTCTGATTTAATGAGCTGATGTGTTTCGGAGTAGTGATACTTCAAAACTCATGGGATTCTACCCTTCAATCATCCAAAATCTTTGAATGTGTAGCTACTTGGGACTACATGGCTTTGATACCCGTTGAATAATGCACATGCGTTACTTTGTTTTCATGGTCGTGTTTGTTAAGCTGAAAGGTCCAGCTGGAGCATATTAGCATGCCTTTAGTATGCACAAAGTAAATAAAGATTTTGGACAAAAAAGAAGCAAAACTTCCTTTACTCTCCAAAGATAGCTTGGTTTGTAAAGCGGTCTCGTCAGCGTCAAGCAAAAGTCAATGCGATATGCGTTCTTGTACTTTGAATATAGTAGTTATTCTAAACACCTGCCTCAATTGGTGTCTAGATCACAGTATAATAGTGAAAGCCACCCACACTATGTCTTTGGATCTAAGGTACCTTTATCGAATGAACACTGGTACGTCGCAATGGAATTTCCATTAATCGATTCACAATATTGTGTCTTTACAAAGAGAGATTAACACTTCCTGAGTGTATAAATACAGCCTTGGTCTTCGCCTACTGATGTCTAATAATTATGCGCCATTGGGATAAGTTCCACCTCTTGCCAATTGCATTTCACATCTACAGCCCAGCAGACAAAATGCGGTCCCTATCACCAGGAGACCCTGTTTTCTTCTACGCCGCCATAGACGAACTCGACCGTGTCATAGATCCACCAAATAACACCGCTATCAAAGAATTCCTAAGAAGCAACCGCACACCCACAGAAGAGCAGACACGCAAAAAAACTCTTTTCATGGAGGGTGTCATGGTCGATGCGACAGATAGAAATCTCGTCTGCATCTTCTTCGACGTGAAAGATACAAATGACGTCTCTGAACTCGTCCGTTCTTCCCTTTCCCAACTGGAAAAAAGGTACCAGGACGTGGCGGAGGATCATATTGCCCCCCCGCTAGGCCCCAATGACCATAATTACTTTAACCACTCCGCAGTCTGGAACTGCGGACTCTACCCTGGACATCCAAAGACCAGGGTGAGGGAAGGGTATGTGAGGATTTGTTACATGTTCGAGACCCGGGCCAGACATAGTGGCGAGGTACTTATGTGGCTGTATTCCATGCTCCGGGTGTTGTCTAGACATCCTGATTTGCGTCGGGGTGGTCTGCCCATCGAACATAGAGGTTTGTATGTATTCCGTACTAGTCCGACCCGGGGCTTACATCGGTATAATCCTAGGGCACTCCGTGGTGTTAGGAAAATCTATTGATGTTGCAAATTTACTAGACTGTGTTGATTCTCCGTCTAATTTTCTTTTCATGTTTTAATTGGGCTTAGGAGCTTCTACATGAAAAAATGGCTTGCTGTTAAATATCATTATTTGTTCAACCATATCCGCACACGTTTGTACCTTCTAGCCACGGTACTGTGCACTCATCTTCTCTACCGAGGAGGGCTTTTGAAACTGAAATCTATGTTGCTCAAACATAGCGATTGGCAATGCCTATGGAGGAGGAAAGTTAAAATTAGGGTACCTTACTATGTCAAGACGTGAAATACCGTCTTTTATGGATGTCCGTAATAACCAAGGCTTTTGCCAGTTCTTTGGGAAAATACCTATGCTCAGAGTCGGAGGTAGCCTATGATGGTAGCCCTGCTGATGGGCCTTGGCGTGGATTGGAATATATCAAGGAACATTTAGGCTTTACAAGGAAATTTCCCCGTCTGCTGCTCTAAACACCGAGCTCTATCTTAGAGACTGGGAAGTAGAGACTCTTGTGTGGCTGTTTCCATCTGTGGTATCTACGAGCATTCTATATACCAAACCAATAGCTTTATGCAAGAGGCCAGTTACTTGCAGTTTCATTCGGATCTTGTCATATAGAAGGGTCTAGGTGGTCTCTCTTGATCGTTGTGTGTGTATACATTAGAGCGGATGTTCCCCAGAGCATACGAGTATAAAGTGTAGGTCATGTTTTCGTCCGAGTTCTTCTGGTTTCTGTTTACCATTTCAGCCATCGCTCTTCATTACGATTGCCATTCATATCCTACAAACAAAACTTATACAATCCAAACCTCAAAGATGGAACACTACGAACCCACACGGGATATGGAAACCCAAGAACCAGGATCTCAACCCACTGGAAGAGAAGACCCAATGTGGCGAGTCAGGCCACACACCTGGGGAAAAGCAACAGGCCCAGGTGAACACATCAGCGCTTTCCGGAAAGAGCTGCAGGGTCTTCCTCCATTTTGTGACATGAACCCACCACCAGATCGGCCCCTAAAAGTCCAGCTTTTTGAGCAATGGATCGTAGTCGATCTGACCAAGCAAGATCTCATCTGTCTTTTCTTTGATATACCCTCGACTCACACCGAAAAGGTCAGTGTCCGCTATGCCATTGCCAAATCTAAAGAATTAGCGGATAAGATTCCGAGAAACAATTTCGGTCACTTAGTACATCCACTAAGCGAAGTTCCTGAGGGGAAACAGCGAATTTGTTTCATGTTTGAAACATTTCACTCTACTCAACCAGAAGTGCTCGATAAAGACTTGGAGGTGATTTTCGCTGGGGTGAAGAAAGTTCTGGACAAACAAGGGGAAAAAGGTCGAACGAAGGTGCTTCCGATTGAGTGGGAGAAACGTTATGTGTTTACGGTTGGACAGATTGAGGATATAAAAACCTGGGGTGTATCGCCTAGCAACATCGGAGCCATAGCTCTTGAGAGCTCACCTTTTTCTTCTCTAAGTTGAAGGACATCGATAACTGAAGGACTGCATGGCTTTTTGTCTACTGTTTCAATAAAGTCTCCGGTGAAGAGCCTTTGTTCGACATAATGTGTATACAGTTGCTATCTACAATGAAATGATTTTCTGAATTTGGATCTATGAACGTATGCTTGATTAGTAGCGACGGATAATTTGTACTCAAGTGCACATCAGTAATCATCAGTATACCTTTATATCCGACAAATGCCTAAGCCTTGAGCATGATCCGTACCTTGATCCGAAGTGTAGGGAGCCTGAGTGATATAAAGGCTCCACCAGTATTTATGACAATGAAAACCTACATTCAATGTCGGAGAGTGCCTTTGTTATACGCAAATATTCTGTAACTGAATTAATATCTTTACTACCTGATATCCTATATCTAAAGTGGCAGAAACCTCGAGTATGAAAGTAGGAGAACAACATCGTTAAGTTTCTCAAAGCATGTTTCTGACACAGAGAATCGAATACTTTGCCAAAAGGTTTGCCACGTTGGTGTTCTCCACCAGTAGGATCTTTACATATGCTGGGAACTTCCTAAAATTACCGGTAAAGGCAGCATCTACTGTCTGAACTTATCCTAACACAGGCAGAATGGCAGTATATCATGCTGGATTTACCACTCTCTTATCCTCAAAATTTAATCGTTTCCAGGGAAGACGGATGCTTCCCTTCAGTCTACAGGCATAGATAGGGACTCACTCCTCCCTGATTCTTTGGCTTCTTTGTTCACCCACCATCTCAAGTATCCCCAGTTCTTTGTCAATATCTACACCTATAAGAAGCAACAGATTCTCTAACTCAAAGAGCATTGACTACGAGGCAAGATGCACGACCAGCACAATGACAGATCAGCACCCCAGTCCAACCGAAAACAACCACGTTGGGTCATCCCAGACCCGTATAATCCCCAAGAAGACCTCTTCAAACATGAGATGCGACGTCATTACCAACCCACAGAGAAGGAACTTGAACGCAAGGGGAGCCTTTTCTCTCAAGGTATGATGCTCGACGTGACTCGGAATAACCTTGCTGCTGTTTTTGTCGACATACCTAAGAACCCAATCAGTACTCGCCAGGCCCTTCTTGATGCTATAAAGGAAGTGACTAGGAGGGTGATTGGTAGCGAGAGCAGTGGCGATGAGTCAGAGGAGGACAATGGCTCTGCAGGACTCCCAGACGACGATCTCGCGGAATGGAAGGAAAGAGTTTGCTTCATGTTCGAGATGGAACCTACTGCCAGAACTTCCAGGGTTATTCTCGAGGATCTATATAGCTTCATCCAGCATGCCACAGAAGCAAATGAGCACATGTTGAAACTCGATGAAGAGCAATTGCCGATCGAGATCTTTAAAGGCTACACCATGACTAAGGCTGATCCTAAATGGCCTTCTGAAGAATATGACAAACAATATGCTATTGCAAAGCCCTATGAGGATTGGGCGCCATGCGAAGCACTAGAATGGTTGGAGCAGGCAGAATGCTCTGAAATGATGGATGTAGATGACTAGTTGTGTTGAGCTAGTTTTGTCTTCATTGTTGAGTTCGTTGATGTTTGTTGGAAAGATGGGAGAAGAAGGACATGAGCATATTTTTGGCTTTGAATCTATCTTTATTGTTGAATTGAATGTCATTGTTATCCACTATAAACGTCTTTGCGCTCATTTTAGCATCGTAGATACTATAGTGTTCTTTAAAAACTACTATAAAACTTTATTATCCTCTATATAGAGTGATAAAGCATACACCCGGGAACAACAATAATCAAAGCCTAACTCTTATTTTGTACAACCAATTCTATAAAAGTAACAATGAACACTCGACATCAGAGCCATTGATCTCGACTACTATCTCCCTTCAAGGCCAACAATCCAACCCTCCCCCCCCCCAAGCTCCAGGAACTTCAGACATAAATACTCACACATACCACCTCTCACCAACCTCCCATGACCGACCCTCCACAACACTACCCCAATACCAAACACCAACACCAACTCCCACCAAGAAATCACCCCAAACCCCAAAAATGGACACACTAACCACCGCCCTCAAGCCCCGAAAACGCACAACCACCAACGCCTTCGACGCCTCGCGCAAAAGAACCCTCAAAGAAGCCGGCCTCCGCGCCGAAGAACACACCAACATCGTCGGGATCTACCTCGACATCGACCCGTGGACAAGCCCCCAGGACCCAGAGGATGTCATTTTAGCTTCTAGACGGGAACTAGAGCGTAAAATGACAGTGGAGGAGGCGCATTATGCCAATCCACGGGGCAAGCCCCGGAACCATCGTATAAGGGTGTATTGGGGGTTTCCGTCTGAGGCGCAGACAGCAGAAGAGGTGTTCAAGGAGGCGTGGATATATAATATGGCGTTTGAAGATATACTTGAGAAGGGGAAGGGGTTTGGGTTTCCGGTGTTGTTGGATGGGTGTTGTATGGTTGATATCCTTGTTCCTGATCGCGATAGGAAGGTACATGATGTTTCTGTTACGGATGTTGGGTATTGTTCTTGGGAGGATTTTCTGTCAAAGGTTAAGCCTGCTTTTCCGGATAAAGATAATCCGGGGACTTATGTTGGGTTTTAGTGTGAGTGGTGGGACTGTATGATCGTTGTTTTTGTGTGGTTCAAAGCATCATAGATTCAATATTGCAAGACTCAATTCATAAAACTAGAGGTAAGAGCAAAACCGTTAACGAGTGTGTCTTAAGTCACCAGTGGTGATGAAAAACCACACTCTCTATCTTTGAATCTAACATAACATTGTTATGGAAATGTAGTCTATGCAAGTCCAAGTACATAGGGTATCTTTCGTGGCTTCGTAACAAGTCATTTCCCTTTCTTCTTCGTTCTCCTAGGTCGGGTAGAGCCATGATATCGTTACTTTGAGCGTCGTGCTGACGCCCATAATCGTACTGTAAGGAAAATCTAGAATTTATAGTGGTCTTTTCGGCGTCCGTCGTTGGACGGCATGGAACGTATCCAACTTGAATTGGCATCAATTCGATTCCACCATCCGGTTGCGCAGAGCTAGCACATCCATAGGCTGAGAATCTCCACCTTCCCATGCAGTTTTGATGGCTTTAACCAGTTCCCAAACCGCGTTTCGGGCTTCTTCGCGGCCCGCCCCAGCATGGAGCAGGGATTCATACGGAGTGTGCATGTGTCGAATATGAGCCTCCACCGCCAGATCAGCCTTGCGTTCGTCCGATTTGGTCCCCGTGCGTCCGACTCGGCCGGAACCTTTGAGAAATGCGTGATTGAGAATCGCCTCCAAAGATTCCGCAGGCATCAATGGGAATTGAGTACGGAGAATTCGTCGAGAGTGAGCCAGGTCTTTCTCGTCGCGAAGTTTGACAGCATTCGCGCGTGTCGCAGCGGTCGCAGCAGCAGACTCGAGAACAGCGGCGTAGATGTCAGATGGCACACGGATACCGAGGGTCCTCTTCCCTGTCTTGTCCTGCAGCTAGCTGGTTAGAACCTTAATCGTTAAGGGGGGCAACATCATCCCTTACAAACACGGTATAGACTGTGCGCTCAGATTCCTTCGTGTTCGTTCGACAGTTGCGAGTAACATAGACATCGCCCTTGGGAACAAACACATAACCTGTGGCGAATGGTTCCTTTTCAAAACAGTTCTGTTCGAGGACTCCCGTTAGCGAGACATTCTTACATGCGCTAGCAGCTGCAGGCAAGGGTCAGGCGGAGAGGGTCCCAAAACGTAACCCAGCATTTAATAGCGCAGAAAAGCACACGCCCACACACATACCTTTTCGAACGGTTCTGTTGAGCGCGGGATCAAACCGAACTTGGAATACTTCGAAGCCCGTCCCCCAGCTTTACGCTCTGCGCGGTTTGTTCTATTGCTACTACCGGCACCGAAAAGCCCTCCACGGCCACGTCTGCTCGTGAGACTATTTCTGCGAGCCTGAGCTAGAATGGACTGAGGCGATTTCGGAGGAGTAAATGTTTTTGGGAGATTCCTTCGGCGGCCCCCTGATTTCCTCGGAGCACGTCTCCGGGAGATTCTGTTCGCCGATGTCATGTTGTTTGGCAAATGAGCTTAGATAGATTTATGGTGAAGGTAGATTGCGAGATTCAGCCTAGTTTAGAGAGTGGCGACGATACGATATTCGTAATAATAGATGGTTCTGAAGTGATTTTCTGTATCCTGGCCCCGAATTCGGCTGCTAATAGATATCACCGACTACCAACATCAAGGGATTGATAAGGGAGAGAAAGAGCAACGGCGGACATAAACGGTGAAACTAGAAGGTGTCTCCATGACGTGGACATGTAGCTTGACGTAGCGTGTTTAATAATCCATTTTAGGAGTTAAGCCTCGCGGCATTCAATCATGGAGTATGGATCATGCATAACGTAGTATGCCAGATGAGAGCGATCTTCACTTTTCTGCCCAAAACTCTCGCGTATCAATTCCGAGCGGTCACCGATTCCGCGGGGAACTGGTGGCTGTGGACTGTGGCTGGTGTCTGGAGGTGTATTTGTATGCCTGAGGTGTCAGCAACATGTGGTGGGAAAGGATAGGTCTCTGAGAACGTCATGATGGTCGGGAATTATCTGGTATGGACAACTCAAAGAACTCCACACTCTTGAGACCAAGATTGGTGAAACAACGTGACATTGTCTGGTGTACTGAGATACTCAGTTAGGAGCTCGCAATGCTCGAAACTTCAACTACCATTACTGTCAGTTAGTATAGAGTATACCCTGAGGGCCCGGGTGCTGCTGACGATATGGCTAATCAATGTCTGTCTGAATAACAGTGTTATAAGCGATATATTTTTCCATGAATGTCAGCGTATTGGCATCGGTCAGGTGCAACTATGGCAATCAAAGCAGTGAGTGACATAACTACTACAGCCGCAGCTGGAAACCGTTATCGCCATCAAGCATACTGTATTGAATGTTAGTAGCCGGATGGGATCATAACGGTATTGAGCAACCGAATACAGGCTATGAAGGACGGATGCACATCAAGGAAGCGAACTCTTTCCCCCAAAGTTCAGGTCGCCTAGCTGATTCAAGTACAAAAGCACTTGACCCTGTCAAGCGAAGTATACCAAGGTGCAATTAGCTTACAAAATATTATTGGCAGCCTACAACGTCAAAGAACCCTTCCGATACCGAAGTACAGGTCGTGGTCCCTTTCGTTGAATTACTTCCCTCTATAAATGTTAAAGTGACGTCGAAGGAACTATCTGCAGCTCTAGAGATACCTAGGCTTGCTCTTGGCGAAAGCACCTCCAGCCATTCAACACATACCCTACTCAACAGGTTGAAGATCAACAGATTTCTACTTTATACTCGAAAGGTCTCGCGCAATGTATGGACAATTCATCTTCAATGAGTCGTTATCGCCTTCCTGGCCGCAGATTCCTGAACACAGTCCTTAGATGGCAGTGATATCCAAATTAGAATCATAACCTGACGACCGAAAAGAAGACATTCCCGTCGACCCGGAGAGAAGGTGGTGTAGTGCCTGGAAATCCCCTCCATAAGCAGACTCTTTTCTTTCTAGGCTCAGTGCGAAGCGTATGCAACGCCAGCACAAAACGACATACCTTGTAGTTATTTCGTATATGCCTAACCACGGAAGCTCAGGTTTTCATGCTATAGCTGCTATTTTCATTCTTGTTGATTGGCTATGTTTTGTTTTGGCCACCCGTTCCACAAGGGCTGCAAGCTGTGTGATATTTGTCAACATGCAGGCCGTTTTGTAAACGGCGATTTTTCAATGTTCTACTCGACCTTGCATTGAACCTGGGACACTAGTTGGATACAATGTTAAGACCATTGGCACGAAGATGCTGCTATTCGATGATCTCTTTTGAATCTACTAAAGATGGCGCTTCTTACAGACTGAATTATCTACAGTCCCCACCTAAAGTTTCCGTGTAAAACGCGTCATCCGCGACCACGCGTTTTTCTACCTATTTCTTATTTCTTCAACAAATGGCTCCTAGAACGCCTCTAGGGGTAATAGACCCGAATAGGATAAAGAAATCCGAATTAAGTCCCTATACCAGGGGTTTTATATGTGGTTTAGCTCATACAGGGATTTCTCAAGCCAAAATTGGAGAATCGCTTCAAATTCCCGCGTCAACTGTTCAGTATACCATTGAAAAGAAATCGCTCCGAAACAATGGGAAGTCGATAAATCGAGCAGGCAGGCCTACTGTGCTTGATAAACACGATAAACGCAGAATTCTAGCCATTATACGATCCGATCCTTTTATTACCTACAATGATCTACGCTGTCAAAGTTGGACAACTGTCTCCAACTCTACCTTTCTTAGACTGTTTAAGGCTTCAGGATATGGCCACTGGCGCGCTCAAAAAAGGCCTAAATTGAAAGAAGAGCATGCTAAGAAGCGTTTGGAATGGGCGTTTGCCCACCGCAACTGGAGTATTGAGCAGTGGCGCAATGTTATCTGGTCAGACGAATGCTCGGTTGAATTAGGAAAGGGAAAGCGTCAGAAATGGTGCTTTAGACTGAATCGATTAGGGGAGAAATGGAAAAAGGAGTATATTATCCCGTACAGCAAGTCGAAAGGTCTATCCATTATGATCTGGGGAGCGTTTTGGGGTAGTTCTCGCTCAGATATCAATATAATGGCGCGTGATCCTGACTCCCAACGACGTGGCTACTCTGCAGAGAGCTATATCAAGATTCTGGAGGATAATCTCTATTCTATATGGGAACCTGGCTTAGAATTCATGCACGACAACGCTCCTATACATACAGCCAATAAGGTTAAACGTTGGTTCCAGGATATAGGAATTTCTACTATCTATTGGCCGCCTTACTCGCCTGATCTTAACCCTATTGAACACGCCTGGTCAAAGCTGAAAGAAATGATATATCAGCTTGATCCTGAGATAGAGGCATTTGAAGGCACCGAAGAAGCTTTAAAAGCGCGTTTTAGCGCTTTAATAGAGCGCGCGTGGAATGAGATATCTGAGGATTTTTTTAATAGGTTGATAGAGTCTATGTCTAGGCGTGTTGAGGCAGTTATCCAGGCAAAGGGTTGGTATACTAAGTATTAGTCAGCGAAAATGTTGATTGATTTAAAAATTTATTATTTTTCTATACATATTTAAATTTACTAGTAAATTTCTAATAAAACGGAAGAATGGTGGCAGTTTTAGAAAACTAGGTCAGTTTGATGATTTGGGCGGGAAAGGCGCCATACACGGAAACTTTTGCCGTAGAACTGTAACAGTCTATACTCGAATGACAAAACTCGAACAGTCGACGTTAGCGCTCCTACTGGCAAAAGCAAGTTGCAGCCCAGGTACGGGGAAAGATGCTGTAAATAAAGTCTCGATATAGTCAGAGAGCTTGTAGGCTGTGGGTTCATGCGATTGTAGATCTACCATTTTCTTTCGTGTATAAAGCATATCTATATACGATTTACAGCGGGTTTGAGACATTCATAATCTATCATTTGTATGGAAAGTATACTATATACTACTAGAAAGACAAGCTGACTGCGATACTATCCTTTTATCTCACAATGAAGGCAACTAGACGCCACACAACTACCTAGTAGGTTCCGCATAATCCAGAAAAAGAAAAGGACAAAAGAGGGAATTACTAGCGCGATAGGCAAGCCAAGGTCAGCTAGTGCCAACAACCAATGAACCCCAGAATTAGGACGAGATACAATGATTCAGACAGACAAGGGTGATCAGTTGTCCTACAAAGAGACCATGAATCAGTAACCAGTAAAGGATCATCATAAATATCTATATCACGACCGAGGCTATAACCTAGAAACCTACAATATGAATGTAAACAGTGAAGGCAAGGATAACAAAATAGATAAAGGGGCTAATATGAATCGAAATTTGCATCGGCGTATTTTCATCTAGATTCTCAATTATAGATATTGACCAAAAACAAGTACATGATGCGATAGTACCATAGGATTTGTCAAGCGTTGCTATTCAGCCCATGGTATCCCAGAGCAACGCAGTCTAGGGGTGCAGCCCTAGAGGGGCAGTAGGGCAAAATAAGAGACAATCTTATCCCCAGGAACCTTAGCCCACAGGGGCAATAGGGGGTATGTACTATGTACTATGTACAGATATCAGATCACAAGGATCTACCCGGCACGAGGGAGAGACATGTCGATGTAAGGTGAGGTGGGCACCTGCCAAAACATAGTTATCGATCTTCGAGCATGAGATCTAAAGTCTGTTGGTTCTTGACCATGTTTTTAAGATTCCAAATTGTGGTTTAGTTTGTTGAAAATCGTCCATAGACTTTACTTGGATTGGCCCGAATCGTGCATGTTGGAAGTTAATTCATGTCGCTTATCAAGAGTCACTATATATAACTTTTAACGATAAGCCATTGAGGGTTGAGAGTAGATACTCCTAAGCCGGACTTGTCCGACCCGAGCCCAGCCGGGTGTGACTGGAATGGTCAATCGAAGCGAGAGGTACACAGTAAATGTTTTAACATATTAAATTTTGCTAAAGGATCTTGCAAATTGTGAGATCAATAATATATTGAGGGTCAGTGCCAAAGCATCCTCTCGGTATTTTTTATTATTCCCATCAAACTGTGGTGGCAGGAACGGGAATATAAGTAGGGTTGTCGGTACTCCGTACAGCTGGCAACTTGACCAAAGTGGTATGCAAGATGTTGATCCTGAAAGAAGACCAGCAATATTGATCTTGGCAGATCGAACTCCTTACCGATGTTCTCAACTTTAACCGCGAGGTCAACCGAATTCGGGTAGTGGCGTGTTGAGAAAAAAGAAAGAGAAAATAATAATAATAATAATAATAATAAAGGTAGTTAGGCAATCACCTAGGCTGCAGCGCCGCCATGTCAGGGGTGATGACCATTATTCTTCGAAGTGTATGCACGATGTACAGCTATTCCTGCGGGATTACACCGCAGGCCGCTACTAGTTCGCTGCAGGTCCCAATGCTCGCGTGCAGCACTAGCCATCTTTGGTTCGCATTGTTTGCTGTTACTGTCCAGTGTCAGGGCTCAGGATTCAGGGCTTAGGAATCATGCCGACCGTGAAGAGAATCGCTGTGGGGAAGGATATCGCCTGATGGAATGGAAATAACTGGTTTTAGTAGCTTCATAATTAAACGTCACACCTGGAGCAACCTCGGAAAGGCCCCCCCCCCCCACCATATCAAATTTCCCTGGAGCATGCTGACGCCCTGAAAGTGAGTGAATAGTAGTAGTAGTAATAGTAATGCTGACCGGAGTTTCAAGCCCCATCAGGCTGAGCACCGTAACAGTATTATTGGACGGATCAACGCTGGCAAGACAGGGGCAACTTGGAGAGTGCAAGTTGAGAGTCTAGAATGTCGC